TTTTTTTTTTTTTTTTTTTTTTTTTTTTGGTACCGGGGATTGAACTCGGGTCCTTGCAAGGCAGGCCACCGAACCGCTGAGCTAAATCCCCAGCCCCCAAGACTATTTTCTTTTAGGGCTTGAAATACTTCACTCTATGCTGTCCTTGACTTGAGGATTTGTATTGAGAAGTTTGCTGTGATTGTCATTGGCTTTCCTTTATAGTTCATTTGTTTGTTTTCTCTAACAGCTTTTAATATTCCATTCTTGTGTTGAATTTCTGGAATCTTGACTATTGTACCTTGGTGTAGTGTTTTTGTCTTTGATTATGGCTAATTAGAGTTATATGCCTCACTTATCTGTGTCAATTTCTTTTTCCCTGCATGGGAAGTTTTCTGCTACTTCTGGGAACAGATTTTTTATGTCATTTGCACTATTTCCTGTTTTTTCATTGACTCTAATCAATCTTATGTTATTCCTTGCATGGTCTAGCAGCTGTTGAATTGATTGCGCATGGTCCACTGTTATTTTTAAGAAATCTTTTTTTCATTTTTGCTAACTGCAGTCCTGTCTTCCATATCTGATATTCTGTCCTCACATTGGCTCATTCTGCTGCATGAACTTCCAATGGAATTTTTAGTCTTCTAGGTATCTGTTTGAATCTGTCTCATGGATTCCACTGAGTATTCATGGTTTCCATCATTTTCCCAAGCTCCTCTATATTTTGCTTTTTGTTTTTTTGTTTTTTGGTCTTTATCTGCTCTAGAGTCACTAACCATGTCTTTCATTGTGGTCACCATCTCTGTAGTTATCTGAGAAATTATTTCTGATTTGATTTTTTTTCTCAAGCCTCATTCATCTGCATCGTTACTTCCACTGTTGCTACTTCAGAGAGTGGGTGGGTGGCTTTCACCTTGTTCCAAGTCCTGGTTTTGCCTCGGGTGAGCTGGAAGCCTGGGGCTTCGTCTTACTTCTATGTCTTCTCATTTTCTGTTTTGTTTCAGTTTCATTCCTGGGTTGATGCTAGTAAATTGCTTATGGCAAGTAACTTTATTGCTATTCTTTAGAACCCTTAGGAAATGAATACTTCTCTTCCAGATGTAGATGGCTTTTGGGCTTTTGCAAGATCCTACCTCTTCAATTTATTGGATATGAGAAGTTGCTGCCTGTTTCACGTAGCCCTTGGTTCTTTGGCACTGGTCTGTAGTATTATTTATGACCCTTAGGCAATGAGGTCTTGGCTTACCAAGAACAACTGGTCAGAACAGTATGTCACCTTGGCTAAAAAGTAGTACAGTCAGTGATAGCTACAGCATCAAACACATCCTGGAAAATGACAAACTGTGTTGACGATTTCTTTCCCTGTGGTAACTATTAATTTACCCCCTTATTTATATGAACTAGATCTGTGATTATATGGCAAAATCTAAAAGCAGAAAATTGTATATAGTAAATTGTATAAGATGCCCTGCACATGGGGATTATATCCCCAGGAGAGGAAAATTTGAAAGTGTTTAGGGGGAAAAATAGAGAAATAGAAAAAGAAGACATTAGAAGCAAGGTTGGAAGACAGAGGTTATGAAAACTTTTGGGAAACTGGTGAAGGAAGAGAAGAGAGAAGGAAGAGATAAAAACAAGAGCAGAACAAAATAACAAATCTAGAAACAGTGTTCAGATTCATATAAAAACAAGAACAATCAAGAAAAAAAGAAAAGGAAAGAAGTGTCCACTTCCGGATGTGTCTCTGCTGTCACTGGTACACAGAGTGGGCACACAGATCTGTGTTGATGAATTGCAGTAGGCCTGCACCTTTTGTTCTACTGAAGCTCAGGTTGGTTTCTTTCTGTGAGATTGGAACCTAATTTGTTCATCCTATAACACTTTGTGTACCTCCTGTTGGCTTGAGCTTGGCTCCTTGACCTCTTGCTGACCTGAACTCGGCTCCACCTCACCCTCATCGAGCCAGCCTGTAGCTGCTCTGAGTTCCTAGCGATCAGCCAATCGCCCTCTTCTGGGGGACATCTGAACCCAAATAACTCACCAGCCACTGCTGTGCATTGCATCCACCCCTCTATGATATTCTTTCATGGAGGCCTCTAGGGTGACCATTAGTCACTGTGGGTCTGCACAATCGGTCCTCCCATACAGTGGGTCAGGGCTCAGTGTTAAGTACCACTTGCCACCTCCCTCTTCTGAGCTGAGGTTGCTCTCTTTGCTCTCTCCATAGGCTTCATCCTCACTTAGATCCTTGCTGGGTCCCAGGGACCCACTTCCCTCCTCACATTACTATTTTCCAGAGTCTGGACTCAGAATCTCAGAGAGGCTGTTTCTCTGCTGTTTACCACTCTGCCATCTTCCAGAATCTCCTTAGAAATTTAAAACCCATGGAAGTTGGTGAGGTCTTCAGGGATGGAGTGTAGCTTGTAGATCAAGTACTGAATGTGGGACACTCCTATTTATTTGGAGGTGTTGAGGAGAAAAAGGAAAGAGAGCTAGACCCAGAAGCTCAGGCAAGGAAGAGAGAAAGACCAGGAGTTTGAGGAGGAGGAGGAGGAACATATACAGAAAAGCCCATGAAGGAAATGCACTGGTGCTGCCTCAGGCAGAGCTTTCTGTTTTCTGCAACCCAATTGTCTTATCTAGTTTCATTTATCACACTCACACAAATATACACACGAATGTGTATTAGACTGTTCACGAACACACCACCTCAGCATTGTCATGGTGAGTTGTATCCTTTTGTAAATATTTGAAAATTCTCTAGAAACAGATTTTTCTATTATTTAGAGTGCTGTATGACAATTCATGATTGCAAGAAATAACCTATGCCTCCAATTCATTACTGATTATCTTGGAGGAAAAAAATTTATATGAAGCTGCTAACAAAAAAGAATGCTTATCTACTTTTGATATTTTTCTTCTAGTTGATTACAATTTCAAATAATTAGACTTATTATAAGTAATACAAAGTGAGAGTGAATTAAGTAAATACAAATCTACTTAGGTCTCAGCCAGGTACAGTGGCTGATGCCTGTAATTCTAGCCCTCGGGAGGCTGAGGCAGGAGGATTGCCACATTTGATGGCAGCCTGGTGTACATAGTGAGTTGAGGACTCTATATATAATGATACCCTAGCTCAAAAGAACAAAATAGCAGCAGCAACAACAGCAAAACTATACTAAAGGTCTGTATTGAAAATGTAAAGGAAGTCGTGCAAAACATCTTTGAGCAATGAAACGAACAGTTTGGCAAGGTAGATGGTGCTATTTGAAGGTGATTGTCCATTTGTGGTTGAAAGATGGTGGTGTGGGTGGTCCACTCTCTGTGTCCCCCAAGTCTAATGAAGCCACTGGAAACAGAAGTCAACCCGACATGGGTTGTATTGATCGGCACTGGGACATCCCAGGGGAAACAATTTCAAAGTCATTTTCCAATCTTGAGAGAAATCCTTACAAAGGCCTAAGATACTGGCGGGAGAGTCAGCACAGGAGCTTCTTCTATGCTTATCTGTGAGGGTAGATGCTACAGAGTCGTAATATGACCATTGTCTCCTAGGCTATCTTTTTGGCACATGGACCCAGTTTTAAAGAGAAAATGGAAGTTGAACCATTTGAAAATATTGAAGTCTATAATTTAATGTGTGGTAAGTATACATGAATACATTTACAAGCAAAGGTCTTCTTTTTGCTTTAGTAGGAATGATAAACTTTAGATCTTAGGAAACCAAGTGTTTCTATTCATTACTATATGGTAGTTAAATTTAAGAAAATTTAGCAAAACAAATGAAAACTTCCAGCTTTTCAAAATAGGATAAACATGGCTAAAACCACAAGCTTTTTGTTTGTTTTTTGAGACGGGGTCTCAGTATGTAGCGGAGGCTAGGGTTGAACTCATTATGTAGTCCAGACTGGCCTCAAACTCATGGCAGTCCTCCTGCCTCAGCCTCCTGAGTGCTGAGATTACAGGCGTACACATCACATCTGCAGAACCATCCTTTGCTTAAACAAAGTGATTGTTTAAGCAGTGAAGCTTTTCTCTGCGGGAACAGAGGAAGTTCGCCAAAGTTCCCATGGCTCATCTGTGAGGAATATTCCAAGTAGACAGACGAGATGCGAAGACTGAGCTGAAAGCCAGGGAGCTGAAGGCTTGTGCAGTGCTTGAGTGCATTATAGCAGAGTTTATCAAAGAAATGCAACCAGCAGCTCTTTAGTTTTCCCCATCTCCTGCGTGGGAGTTGTTGCCTTCTAATTTAAAGCTCCTTGGAACTTATTTTCCGAATCAGATCTTCTACATATTCAGCCTGCACCGAACAATGGTACTCATGGTAGCCTGAACCATCTTCTGAAGGTGCCTTTCTACGAGCCGTCCCATCCCAAGGAAGTGGCCAAGTTGTCTGTTTGTGGCTTTATTGCTTCGCTGCCCACGGACACCCTCGACTGTTCCTGCCCTCAGCTGCAAAATGTGAGTAGCGACTCTGAACGTCCACAACAATGTAAAGGTGAAGCAGGTTTGTCAGCAGCGAGCTGGCAGTCAGGTTTGTGTCCTGGCTCAGATGTTTACCAAGTAAAGATGTGTGGCGTCTCTGAACTTTTTCTGGAAGTAGAGATTGTAATGCCTAAACTGTCAGGTAAGTGCATGGTTTGTACACTGGGAAGCACAGTTTGGGAGGAATTTTTATTCCATTGTGAGGTAATTGTCCTCAACAATTCAAAATATTAATGTTGGCACTCTCTTTGGTTTCCTTCCTAGCCCAATCTTAACCTTTAAAAGCCCAGATAGATGGTCATGCTTGCTCAGCTGTTTAGAGCCAACATAACTGAGAGGATGCAGAGATGGGAACCTGGGGTTAGGCAGGGGTAGGTGTTTCGGGTACTTTTAGGTAGCGGTGGAGAATCACTGTCAGGCACGGCTACAGCACAAACAGTGGATGCTGGGTAGGTCTTTCTAGTATCTCATGCCATGCTGAGTTCAGAAGTAGGATTTCAGATCCCAGAAGACTCTGAACAAAGCCCAGTTCCAGTTGGAGGATCCCCAGGACAAGGAGTCAGAACAGAAGCTCAGAAATACAAAAGGCAGCCGCACCATGAGAATCAGAGGACCCGGGAGGTGTTAGGATTTCAGAAGGAAACCAGAGCCCAGTTATCAGAAGACCATGAAGCTAGAATGAATGTCAGGGACATCTGATGCCAGGTTGAACAGGTGGTTGTTGAGCTAAGTAAACACCTGCTCCACTCAGCATGTGAAAATGAGTTTTCTTAGTGGGAAGAGTCAGTGGTGACTTTGCAGTCTTTAATCCTAAAAATAACATTACACCTAGGTGTAAATAAATATTCAACCAAGAGAGGTTTTAAGGGAAAAGTCTAGTAAAACTTGTCAAAAATGGTAAATCCATAGCCGCAGTCGGAGTAGGGATGTGCAGTTCCTACCTCTGTTCCACGTGACTCCCACGGCTTCCTTCCTGCCGCTCCGTGGCCTCAGTGGAACTGACAATACATAAGAACAAGTAGAATGAGTGGGCCTTTATTTCACATTCAAGAGACAAAAGAAGACTCAGGGAAGGGTGAGAAGTTGCCCAAGGTCATAGAAGCTCGGTCTGTCTGACTGCAGACTTGGGGTTCTTCTCAGGAAGGAACGCCGCCAGCCACTCAGTGTGGTCTCAGAGCCCGAGTGGCCATCGCTCGAAAGCTGGGTGGAGTTAAAGAATCTTGGCTCCTGCCCTGGGTTTATTGAATTATTAGAATCTGCACTTTAAGAAACCTCGAGCAGTTTGTGTGCATATCAAAGCATCGGGAAGCACTGGGATGTAGCTCTCTGTGCGCATCATCCTCCCGCTACTGAAACGAAATACCTAATGCCTCCGGGGTCGTGGCTCCGACATAGAAACAGCACGGTGGGAGATCACGACTGAGCTAATCTGCTCATGCCATGGTGGTTAGGAAGCGGAGAGCAAGGAGACAAACAAAGGACAAGAGACAGCCTTCTAGGTCACAACCCCAGTGACCCTCCTTCAAGCTCCTACCACCTAACAGCACATTTAGCTACTAAACTCAGCAGTGGATGAATTCACTGATGAATATAGCACCCCCATGATCCAATCACCTTCCAAACACATATTTTGGTGGTGGGGGGGGGACATTTGGCTGTAAAAACCGTAACATTCCACCCCTAGCCTGCACGGATCCATCTCATCTGCTTATGTGCAATGCATTTGGTCCATATCTAGTAGTCACCAAAATCTTAACAAAATCTTCCTAAAAGTCCAAGTCCAAAGTTCTCTCTGAGACTCAAGGCAGACTTTTAGATATAAGCTCCTATAAAAATAAGAATGGGAGAACCAAGACCTGTCATGTAGAGGTACAAGATCCCAGTGATGAATGTAACTGTACTGTATACCTAAAATGTACCGATAAACTCAATGAGGAAAAACAAATCAGAATGAAAGTTAACTACTTCCAAGATATAATGGCACAGGGTAAAAATTCCCATTCCAAAAAGGAGAAAGAGGAGGATAGACAGGAATGGGACCAAAGCAGGACCAAAATCTTGGCGGGCAACTGCTAATCTTGTAGTTCTCCTGGCCAGTACCCGAGCCAGGCTGTGGTGAGATTAAACTCCAGAGGGCTTTGGCAGCTTCACCCCTATGACCTTGCTAGTTGCTACTCACATAGCCTCTCCCTTGAGCTGTCTCCTCTTCCTGCCTGAAATTCTCCTCGGCAGATGGTCCACATTGCTGGCATCTCTAATTTTCTTGGGTCTTTACTACACTTTTAGCTTCCGTCTCACAGCTTCACGCATTGCCCTTTCAGGGGCACACTGAGTGGCCTCCCAGGGCTCTGCTGAAGTCTCAGTGTAAAACTCCATGACCTCACAACTCTTGTACTCCGCATGTCTGAAAAACCATGGTGTAGATGACACCAAGGTCTGCTGTCAATAGCAGTACTAGCTGGATCCCCTTAGACTGTAAATGTAATGGCCTCTGAGTGCCTAGATGGCTGAGCGTGGTCATGATGTAATAAATCCCATGAGCCAATTACTTAGGTCATCTTTCTTTATCAGGGCTGCCTTTCTTCATCAGCTCTCTTACTCGTTTGCACCTTTAAACCTGTGATGCATTGGGCCTTGCTGATTTTTTTTTTTTTTTGGTACCGGGGATTGAACTCAGGTCCTTGTGCTTGCAAGGCAGGCCACCGAACTGGTGAGCTAAATCCCCGGCCTTCTTGCTGATTTTTGAGGTACCTTAAGCCACTTTTTTATTATTAAGTTTATTGGTACTTTTTAGGTATACCATACAGTTACATTCATCATTGGGATCTTGTACCTTTACATGATGTATCTTGGTTCTTAGTTTTCCCCATACCCCTACCCACCTTTCACCCCCTCAGGCCATCTTTCTTATTATCTTGAAGCAAAATATTTGGATTATTTTTGATGCTAATCATTTCAGCAACCATACTCTCCTTTGCCCCAACTATACAGGCAAGTGCTTCCTTTCTGGTAAGACTTTATATCATTTGGCTCTGCATTTTGCTCCTGACACTCACTGTAGAACTAGCTAAATTTACCCATCAGTATCCATGCCACAACCTGAACACTGAGCTGTCTTGAAATTTCCTTTACTAGATTAAGTAGTCCACTGCCTTTAAGTTCAGCCTACACAAAGCCTTAAGACATGAGTAAAATGTACACAAATTTTCTGCCTGAGTTGTAACACACATGGCCTCCAACTTTTTTTTTTTTTTTTTTTTTTTTTTTT